AAATCCAGTAAGTTGTGCACTCAAATTCAGGCTTTCAGCGCTCAAAATGAACTTTTCAACTGTCTTCTGGTAGTTGGAAAACGCTACTCCACGATTGCGTTGAGCAATTATCTGAACAAATTCGGTGAATTGTTGAACAGATTCCACTGCAAACGTCACAAAAAAAGAAGTTCACAACGCTTATTGAGCCATTCCTTCTGAATTCTTACACTGCATGGATTGTATAATTGCTATTTCTTCGATGATTGGCAATACAAATTGTAGAAATTAAGCCAAAGGATGTGACCAGTGTTTATGCTGGAACTGTCATACAAGCTGGCACTGGCGAAAATATCGCTCGTCAAATTTCCATTGGATCAGGTATGCATTCATATAGATGAGTGCAAGAAGGTTTTCATATGATCGGTGTTCATATCATCAAAACATTCCATAGAAATGAAGTGTCTGGTGTAAGCGGAGCAATGCTTTCAGGTATCCCAACTACGGTACCATGCATGACGTTGAATAAAGCTTGTTCAGCTGGAATGACTGCGCTTATCATTGGCGCACAGCACATTCACATGGGTTATCAGCAGTGTATCGTTGGTGTTGCAACTGAGAGTATGAGCAACGCACCCTTCATTCTTCCAAGACACCTGCCAACTGGGGGTCTTATGTTGGAAGTACGTTGAATAATACTTAGCCCCGAGACCAGAGTTCTCTATTGCTTTGCACTGTAATTCTGTCATTGTCACACACAAAAAATAAAGCACATCTCTGAGCGAGTTAAGTTATAATTTGCAATTCAGGATACGATTGATAGAGACGGATATTTGGATCCGGTGAAAGGTGTTTCGGTGGCGATGCTGGCTGAGAAAACCGCAAGAGAACTGAAAATTAGCCGCGCTGACCAGGATGCGTGGTCGCTTGAGAGCTATAAAAAAGCTTCAAAGGCGTGGAAGGTACCGAAGACATTGACGCTTGTAATTTCAACTGCTTCAGCAATTTCAATTGTTCACTTCTTACCAAATACAACCCAATTCTACCAATTCTCGAATGCTCAAGATTAGTTCCAACAGAAATATTCAGTGGTCACTTGTTTTTTTGAATGGGTAATAGGTTGCCATTCAGTGGAATCTTTGTTACGCAATTTTGCCGAATTGCTCTGTCCTGTCTTCAATTGCTCTCCATCCTATTCTCTTACACAATCCCAATTTTTCAAATTGTTTTATTGTTATATATCCTCACTTTTTCAAGCTATCATTCGAAGCTATTCCTTTCCCCTCTCCGTTAGTTCTAATCTGCTTTGCTCTCATGCGTCCAGCCCAAATTTTCAAAGCTGTTCTGTTCCGTTCTGTCCTATCGTTCCAGTGTTTCGTTCCATTCCCGCAGTCCAAATTTTGAAGTTTTTCTATTCTGTTCTGGTAGAAGTGAAGTTTATTTGGAATGAGGACTCCACTATATTCAGCGTTTGCTGAAAAATGAGGAAACGAGAATTCTCATTTTCTTGCAGGATGGTCTACTTGACGATGA